AAAAAGTACATATTCACCATCACCTGGGCTTTTGATTTCTCTGCAGAAAAGCTCAAGCAATGGATTCTCAATGAAAATAAATTTGAAATTTAATTTTGGAGAATTCATGAGGCTTTTCCAAACTACCTGCTATACAATTTGCCTTTCACACCAGTTACAGTATGCCAATAAAAGCAAGAATACTGTAAAAGCTACTTTACAGATCATGTGCATAAATCAAATATTGTTTCAAGAATTCTGTATCGATTATAACCCTGTTTCCACAACTCTGGCTAGTACTGTGGCCAGCATTAAGAAATGAAGACAAAGTAAAAGTCCATTCTAATACAGCAACAAAAAAAGGATGCCTCAGATAATCCTAGTTCCAATAAGTGCTCTTCGTAAATTGGCTGAGCAGTGTTTGGAGAGTTAAGTTTATACAATGAACAGTTGCATTAAGGATGAGATAAAGCAAGAACATGACGGCTACAAAACCGACAAAGACATTCTCAGTATGGCGTCTTCTTAAGCATCAAACTTCCTACACTTTGATTCTATCAAGATTTCTTGGTATCAAGAGCATATGAATAACCTTATGTTGCTCAAATTCTAGAACAGATTAAAATTGTTCCCACATTCTTTTGAGTTACATTGAGTTCTTTGATGGTCAGTAAAATATCCATACAAAGGCTTGTCCACTTTTATTTTCTAATGTTGTGTAATCTCACCATTTACAATAAAGGCTTTTCTCTATTCTTTACATTCATAGGGTTTCAGACATATATGGAGTCTCTGATGAGCTTTAAGAACTCAGCTATTCTATAAATGTTCCTACATTCTTTGCATAGTTTAAGAATAGCATGGGTCCTTTTATGTTGAGGAAGGTCAAGGCCCTGGTCGATGGTCTTTCCACATTCTTTACAGTAATGGGGCTTCATAAAAATATGAATTCTCTGATATGCACTGAAGGCTGAACTTAATCTAAACATTTTCTCACATCTTACATCATAGCGTTTCTCACCAGTATGAATTCTGTGACATACAGCTAGTTTAGAATTACTGGTTTTCTACATTCCTTACAGCATAAGGCTTCTTGTGAAGATTAGCATGTCAAACCAAGTTTTATTTCAACTACAGGCCTTCCCACAGTCTTAACATTGGAAAGGTTTTGCACCAGTGTGAATTCTTTGATGTACTTTAAGGTCTCCACCACGAGTAAAGTACTTCCCACATTCTTTACATTCATAAGGATTCTTGCCAGTATGTATTCTAAAATGTCCAAGAAACTGGTAGTGATACTGAAAAGCTTCCCCACATTCTTTACATTGAAATGGCTTCTCACCAGTGTGGATTCTCTCATGGATTCTAAGGCCTGTACTACGAAGAAAGCCCTTTCCGCACACTTTGCACTGAAATGATTTCACATCAGTATGAATCCTCTGATGTTGGGTAAGCTGGTACTGAAGTCTGAAGGCTGACCCACACTGCTCACACTCAAATGATTTCTCTCCAGTATGAATGGTCTGGTGTCGTGTTAGTTGTGCCAGAACAGTGAAGGCCTTTCCACATTCCTCACATTGAAAGGGTCTCTCACCAGAATGAATTTTCTGGTGTTGCATGAGGTTTGAGCGACGATTAAAGGCTTTCCCACACTCATTACATTCATATGGTTTCACACCAGCATGAATAATCCTGTGTTCAACAAGGCTGGAGACACGCTTGAAGGACTTCCCACATTCCTTACATTCAAAAGGTGTTTCACCTGTATGAATTGTTTTATGGTAATTAAGCTGGCTGAAAAAATGAAAAGCCTTCCCACATTCTTTACACTCAAAAGGTCTCTCACCACTATGAAATCTCTGATGTCGAATGAGATGTATATTAAGTCTAAAGAGCTTTCCACATTCTTTACACTCAAAAGGTTTTTTTCCAGTGTGAATACTCTGATGCTCAGTAAAATTTGACCGTCTACGAAAGAATTTCCCACAATCCTTGCACTGATAGGGTTTCACATCAGTATGAATTCTTTGATGTTCACTAAGCTGGTACTTCCGTCTGAAAGCTGACCCACAGAGCTTACACTTGAAAGGTTTGTCATCAGTGTGAGTTTTCTGATGCTCAGAAAGGTATAGGTGAAGCCTAAAAGCTTTCCCACACACAGTACATTCAAAAGGTTTCTCACTGGTATGAGTACTCTGGTGTCGTATAAGGTAAGAGCCACTACTAAATATCTTCCCACATTGCTTACATTCAAATGATTTCTCTGAAGTATGAATGTTCTGGTGCCGAGTGAGCTGTGCCAACATAGTGAAGGCCTTTCCACATTCCTTACACTGAAAGGGTCTCTCACTGGAATGAATTTTCTGATGCTGCATGAGGTTAGATCGTCGATTAAAGGCTTTCCCACACTCGTTACATTCATATGGTTTCACACCAGCATGAATGATCCTATGTTGAAAAAGGGTAGAAACACGATTGAAGGACTTCCCACAGTCCTCACACTCAAATGGTTTTGTACCTGTATGAATGGTTTTATGGTACTTTAGCAGGGTGGGAAGATGAAACGCTTTTCCACATTCATCACATTTGAAAGGTTTCTCACCACTGTGGGATTTCTGATGTCTTGTAAGCTGTTGGTGGAGTCTGAAGGTCTTCCCACATTCCTGACATTCATAGGGCTTCTCTCCAGTATGAACACTCTGATGCTGAGTAGGATTTGACCTACAACCAAAGTACTTCCCACACTCTTTACATTCGTATGCTTTTTCTATAGTGTGAGTAAGAGTCCGGCAGGTGCGAGTAGGCATTTGTTCCTTGTTAGTAATTTGATTAGCATCTCCTTCTTGACAACCTTGTAGTCCCTTGAATGTATCATTGGGACCATTACTAAAATGGGAACCCGTAAGGTCAAAAGTTTTACTTAATTGCTTTACGCTCTGTTTGGGTGGCTTTATATTATAGATACAATTCTCTGGAGATATATTCTCAGCTTCATAACATGACTCCAAATCTGAAAGAAAAAGAGAAAGCAAAAATACTTTATTTTCCTGTAACACACACACATACAAATTCCATTAAATGAATGGCCAGACTCGAAAGTATTTTCTGAGAAGCTGAACAGGAGCAAGAAGAGCAGCAGTAAGGAAAGTGTGTGTACAGCAATACTAGTTAGAGCAGAACAGGTTGGGGAAATGGGAAGACATGTCTGCTTAAGGAGATGATAACAAACTAAACTGAAGTGATCTGTGTGCTTCTTGCATACTACAGGAAATACACACAAGTTGATGAAATTTTTTTAACCAAATCATGAGATAAAAAAATCTACACCACACAAATACATAATATCTGTCACACCATTCTGTGAAGGGTTTTGAACCTGTGGGAACATGATAGCCAGCTCTAACCTGACGGCACTGTGTTACTGCCTGCCCTAAAATGAACTGCTCTTTCCCAGTCATTAGTCTTCATATCTGAGTAATAATTTGCACAGGTTCCCTGTGATGACTAAAAATAAAAAAATAAATGTAGAATGGATCTAGGCATCCCTTAAGTGGCACTGACCTTTCCCTCTGGAATACTTGGAAGATCTTAGTGGACTGCAGGTAAGACAAGAATAAGACAGTGGGCTGTGAGTTCTTTACACCTGCCTTTGTTTCAGTAAAATATGCTCATCTATTTTACAAAAACAAAACAAACAAAAAACCCTTGCTTAGCTCTGTGTGAAAGAGATGAAATGGTTGTTTCATCACTGTACGGTAGGAAAGAAACAACTGTGGGAAGTAAAACCAGCTGTGGATTCCGAGGGCAGCTGTAATAAATGCCTTTCGATGTCCCCTTTTAAGTCCCCACCTAAAAAGGTGGCGTGCTTCCATGGGACATGCTCTTTGGTACTAAGGCTGCCTTTCCTTCTGCTAGCAGTAGAAATAAATTCATTTCATCTAAATTTGAACTGAGTCTGAGACTTTGATCTTTCACAGAAGATTCAAATGCCACAATAAACCAAATCAAGAGAAAGAAAAAAAAGCAATGCTACATAAATATATCGGTCATGCTTTAAAAAAACTGGCTTGGACTTGGATTTTATTTTACTTTCTTTTTGGTTTTTCGAGACTAGGTTTCTCTGTGTAGCCTGGGCTGTCCTGGAACATGCTCCATAGACCAAGGTATTCTCTAACTCAGAGATCCACCCGCCTCTGGCTCCCCAGAGTGCTGGTTCGTAACTACCTCTTGGCCTGGACTTGGGAATCTTAAAGAAGAAAGGAGGTAAAATCTGTAGTGGTGGTGGCACACAATTGTAATTAAAGCAATTGGGAGCCAGAGTTGAGTATGTCATGGATTCCAAGACAGCTTGGACTAAATAATGAGTGCCTGAGAAAAACAAGCCAAAAAGAAAACAAAAGGAAGGTGGTGAGGGAGTTCAATAGAATCTTTTTTAAGACTAGAAGGGATCTCCAGCCAGGGAAATAGGTAGGCTACCCTTCCCTTCCTCCAAATCCAATCCCCCAGTCTCATCCCCGGGTCTGTAGCCACCATCTACCATAGCCTGCCTTTCATCCATGTCCCCATCTCTAGTCCATCACACAGACCTACACATATCCAAGCTTCCTTTTCTCCACTCACTGCTTTATCCCACCTCCAACTCCAACAGGCTTTCTCTGGAAACCTGAAGGACGCTCTGCCCAGTGACACAAGCACGCTAACTGCAGAGCTTTACCTCCCCCTCTATTCTTCCAAGTCCAGTCCCCAGCTCTCCAGCAGACCATCTACTGTGGCCTCTCCTCACTCTGCCCCAATTCCCAGAGACTCAGCAGATCTTTGAGAAGCACCTGCTTTCTTCCTTACAGTGAACCCCTCAAAACTACCTGCCTATCCCATCCCAGTTCCTATGTGTCAGCTCCCAATACCAAGAAACACATTTACCCTGAACCCCAGTGGCTACACCTATCAGCGTCCCACAAAATTTTTCGCAGGGCAGTATACTGCCATCACACTCTCCTAAGAACTAGAGAGGACGAGAGAAACCACAGAACAGAAACTCAGCCAGCCAAGACAAGACCAGATACGAGCGCCTGCAGTCTTGCAAAACGCAAATGCTTAAGTGCCAGTGTAAAACACAATAACAGTGTGTCTGCACTAGATCTCAGCAACCGAGTCACCACAAGCCCCGAGCACTGTGACATAGTGGAAAAATAAAAAAGGGACATTAAAATGCCACTATAGGTATGGTAGAGATCATAAAAGAGGGAATAAATCCCTTAAACTATGAAAACACAAACTATGGAAAGAAATTAATATAATAGCTCAAGACCTGAAAGTGGAAATAAATCAACAAAGAAAACCCAAACTGAGGAAAATCTGGAAATGAAAAGTTTAGAAACTCAGACAGGAACCTCAGAAGCAAGCCTCTCCAACAGAATACAAGAGACAGAAAAGAGACACTCAGATGCTGACGAGAGAGAAATGGACACCTCCATGGAAGAACATGGCAACACTAAAAGCATTCCAGCACAAAAAATTCCAGAAAGTCTGGGACAATGAGAAGACCAAATCCAGACATAAGAGTAGAAAAACCCAAGCCAATGGCACAGGAAATGTTTTCAACAAAAGCACAGAAGAAAATTCCCCTAATTTAAAAAATAAGATGCCTATCAAGGTACAAGAAGCAATCAGAACATCAAATATACTGAAAAAGAAAAGAAAATCGTCGGATCCCCTCCCCAGGATATAATAATCAAAACATTAAATGTACCGAACAAAGAGTATTATAAGCTGAAAAGGAAACAAAGCAAGTAACATGTAAAGGAAGACATATTAGAATAAGACCTGGCTTCTCAATGGAGACTTTAAAAGCCAGAGGGGACTGGACAGGTGTTCTACAGACTATAAGAGACCACAGATGCCAACCTAGACTACTATACCCAGCCAAATTTTCAATCACCATAGATGGAGAAAATAAGACAATCCATTATAATACCAAATTTAAGCAATACCTATCTATAAATCCAGCCCTACAAAAGGCACTAAAAGAAAAACTCCAACCTCAAGAGGTTAACCACACCCAAGAAACCACCAGGAACAGTCCCAGACTACCAAATAAAAAGAGAATAAACACACTCACCACAATAAAATAACAGAAATCAACAAAAACTTCTCACTCATATCTCCCAACATCAATGGTCTCGATTCCCCAATAAAAAGACACAGACTAACAGAATGCATGCAAAAAACGATCCATTCTTTTGCTGCATCAAAGAAACACACCTTAATATTAATGATAGACATCACATCAGGATAAAAGAATGGAAAAAGATCTTCTAGTTCCAAGCAAACAAACCTAACAGGCAAGCTGGTGTAGCCATTTTAATATCTGACAAGACAGACTGCAAACCAAAACTAGTCAGAAGACATAGAGAAGGATATGACATGTTCATCAAAAGAAAATCCACCAATATCTATACACCAAACACAGGCCAACCAAGTTCATAAAAGAAACAATACCACAGCTTAAATCACATATTGGCCCTCACACACTGATAGTGGAAGACTGAAATATCCCACTCTTCAATAGACAAGTCATCCAGACAAAAACTAAACAGAGAAATGCTAAAGCCGCCATTACAAACCAAATGGTCCTAACAGATATTTACAGAACATTTTACAGAAACACAAAAGAACATACCTTCTTCTCAGCACATCATTGAACTTTCTCCAATATTGACCACATACTTGGATACAAAGCAAATCTCAAATACAATAGAAAAAATTTCAAATAACACCTTGCATTCTAACCACCACAGATTAAAGCAGGTTATCAATAACCAGATACAACAGGAAGTATACAAACACGAAACAACTCACTATTGAATAAAAAATGGGTCAGACAGCTATTAAGAAAGAAATTAAACTCTTCCTAATCGAATGAAGACTCAACCCACCCAAATTTGTGGAACATGAAAAACACAGTCCTAAGGGGTAATTTCACAGTACTATGGACTAACTTAAAGAAACTGGAGAACTTTCATACTATCAACTTAACACACCTGAAAGCTCTAGAACAAAAAAGACAAAATTACACCCAAAAGGACTATCTGCTAAGAAATAAGTAAACTCAGGGCTGAAGTTAGTAAAATAAAAACAACTATATATATCAAGAATCAATAAAACAAAGAGTTGGTTCTTTGAGAAAATCAGTATGAGTGACAAAATTTGGCCAAAGGAATACGAAAAGAAGATACAAATGAAGAAACTCGGAGACGGAAAAAAAGACATAACAACAGACACTGTAGTGATTTGGATAAAAACAGCCTGCACAGACACATATGTTTGGTCAGAGAGTGGCACTATTAGGAGGTGTGGCCTTCTTGGAAGACAAGTGTCAATGGGATGGGCCTTCAGGTCTCAGAAGCTAAAGTCAGGCCCAGAGGCTCATCAGTTCTCTTCCTGCTGCCTTCAGCTCAAGATGTACAACTTCTAGCTTCATCTCCAGTACCATGTCAGCCTGTATGCCACTATGCTTCCTGCAATGAGAATAATGGACTAAACCTCTGAACTGTAAGCTAGCTCCAATTAAATGTTTTCCTTTATAAGAGCTGTTATCGTTATAGTGTCTCTTTACAGCAATAAAACCCTGAGACAGACTGGCCAGGGACTGGGGCATTGCTGTGATAGGCCTGACTATGCTGTTGATTGGAGGAATGCGGACTTCGGCACTCTGGGCTGGAAAAGCAGTTGGATGCTCTAAGTGGAGCTCACTGGGCCATCCTAGTAGGAACACGGAAGACAGTGGTGCTCAGAGTAATTTCAACTGTAGTGGCCTGGCTCAAGAGGCTCATATTTCAGAAGAGAGGAAGTTTAGTGTGTGTCCTACAGACTGTTCTTGTGATATTTTGGTAAAGAATGTGGCTGTTTTGCCCTTGTCCAAAAAAAAAAAAATCTACCTGAGCCTAAAATGACAAGTTTGGATTAATGGCCCTGGCAGAGGAAATCAGAAAACACCTAGTACTGACTCTGTCATGTGGTTATTAGTGTTCGCTCTTATGCAGAGCTATAATGAAAAGGAGCAAGCTGAAGAAGGAACAACAGAAATGTATAGTTCAAGAGAAGAGGAGCACTAGGAATTAGAATGGAGCTAAATCCTGTGTTCAAGGAGATAAAAAAGATTAAAGTCTAATGTTAAATGGAATAAAGAGAGTGTTGACCTCAGGGCAAGATCAAATCCAGGTAAGCTTCCAACTTGTGAAAAGAATAAAAGCTCAGAGCTAATTAATCCTAGCACTTCATAACTAAGAGGCAGGTAGCTCTCTAAGTTCAAAATCATTGTGGTCTACAGAGAGATTTCCTAGATAGCCAATCTTAGACAGTGAAGAAAACCACTGACAACTGAAAGCTAATGAAGATGTAACTGAATGAGGGGCCATGTTCCAGTCCCAGCAGGCAGAACTTGGCAGCTTCGGCCACATGGTTCTGGCTTTAGAACCAAGGATAGAAGGGGTTATGGAATTTCCCTCCATGACCAAGAAAAGCTGCTGAGGCCAGACCTGTCAGGAGTGAACCTAAATGGAGGCCTAGAGAAGCCATTGTGTGACCCTCTGAAGGTGAAACATGAATGGTCCTGGGGAGCCTAAAATGTCAGCGATGCTGTAGCAGTGAGATAACTGCCAAGAAGGTCTGCTAACAGGGAGTGAAACAGACCCAAGAGAAAGAAGTTTCAACAAGCTGAAAGGAGTTGGCGATGTGAAGAACATTTTGACATAAGATGTGGAAATGCAGTGTTTGGAGTTTACCCAGCTGACTTTCAGTCTTGCTTTGGTCCAATATTTCCTTACAATGTTCCTTTGAAATGGTGATGTATATCATATGCCACAATATATTGGAAATGTGTGATCTCCTTTTTTATTTTGATTTTACAGGAGATTACAGTTAAGAGATTGAATGAATCCAGGAACAGACTTTGAGCTTCAGAAATCTATCAAGTTGGAGACTGTTATGGACTATGGGGACTTTTGAAGTTGGACTGGTTGCATTTCTGCATTATGATACAGCTACAAGCCTATGGGGGTGGGGGAGAGTAAGGAGCGGAATGAGGTAGTTTGAATGGGAAACACCTCATAGACTGATATGTTTGAATGCTTTGGTCATAGGAAGTGGCACTATTAGGAGGTATGGCCGTGTTGGAATGTCAATGGAGGCATACTTTGAGGCCACAGAAGCTCAAGCCAGGCCTTGTGGCTGAGGTGGTTCCTGTGAATCAAGATGTAGAACTCTCAGCTCCATCTCCAGCACCATGTCTGCCTGCATGATGCCATGCTCCCCACCACGATAATAATGGACTAAACCTCTGAAACTGTAAGCCGGCCCCAATTAAATGTTTTCCTTTCTGAAAGTGACCATGGTCATGGCAACTCTTCACAAAAATAAAACCCTAAAACAGGCAATAAGGAAATTCAGAGAATCATAGGGACATACTTTAAAAGCCTATACTCTACAAAATTGGAAAATTAAAAGGAACTCATAATTTTTAAATACATACTACTTACCAGAGTTAAATCAAGATCAGAGAAGCAATTTAAATGGACTTATAACTCCTAGTGAGATAGAATCAGTAATTAAAGTCCAGGGCCAGATGGTTTTAACACAAAATTCTACCAGACTTCCAAAGAAGACTGAATGTCAATATTCCTCAAATTATTTCTCAACAAAAGAAAGATTACCCAATTCTTTTTTTGAGGCCACAGCTACCCTGATACCAAAACCACATACACCAAACAAAGAGAATTACAGACCAATTTCCCCGATAAACTTAAGGTACAAAAGTTTTCAATAAAAATACCAAATAAAAAAACATATGAAAAAGATCATCCACCATGATCAAGTAGGCGTCATCCCAGAGATGCGGGGATGGGGGCAATATACATGTATTTATAACTGTATTGAACATGCACATATTGAGAAGTGCAACCCACCATATAAAAAAGCTGAGAGACAAAACCACAGGATCAACTCATTAGATGCAGAAAAGGCCTTTGACAACATTCAACATAACTTTATGATAAAAGTTCTGGGGACATTAGGGATACAAGGGACAAACAGAGAAACTTAAAGCAATTCTATTAAAATATGAAACAAGACAAGGTTGCCAACTCTATCCATACTTATTCACACACATAACCAATAATACAATATTTTTTAAAGTTGTAGAAGGAGGGTATCTGCTCCAGTGAGAGGGAGGAAAACAAGAACAACTTCAAGTCATTCCTGAAACAGAAGCCCCTTTGACAGCTTTTGCTATGACCTTGACTTCCTTCCCAGGGCTCAGGCATGTTTTCCACAGGCCCTGGAGCTTTGAGCGAAGTTTGTCAAATCCAGGGTCAGCTATGTGGGGCCTCTGACCACATGCTGTGCCTGGCAATGCTGGAGTCTCACCTTACACTCACTCACCTGGGCTCGGCCTCTCTGTCTCTTCCTTCACAACCATCCAGGGCTCTCTCTCCTGCTCCAATAAGGTGATCAGATCTGGTTTGCAAATCGAACTTCCCACTTCAAAGAGAAAAGGGGAAAAAAAAAGACACATAGTGTAAAGAATTTTTTTTTTTTTTTTTTTTGATATTTGCTCTTTCTAATTCTCCCAAGATGTCCTGAAGCTTGATATGTAGAGCAGGATGGCCTTGAACCTGATCTTCATCTTGCTGCCTCTGCCTCCCAAATGCTGGGATTAAAGGTATGTGCCACCATGCCCTGCCTGTATAGATTTTTCAAATACAGACTTACTTATTGTAAATGTCTATATAGCTTGCTATGGTGGAGCAGGCCTGTAAGCCAAGGAGGTGGGGGAATGAGCCAGGCTGTCTGGGCTCCACAGCAAGACCCTCAGAAAAACCATGAAAATTTCTAAGAGCCAAAACAATACTGAGGAAAGACCTTAGAGAAGGAAAAGCAACCCCGGTTAAGAACTACCTGCTTCAGCCTAGGGTTTTAGTCTCATTCACATGCCAACAGGGGCTTGCCACTTAAGCAGAAAGTGTAATCCAGTGGGTTTTGAACCTTTGAACCCATGAACTGAACATGAACCCTTAGGCTACACTGTCTAGTGTAAACCCCATCTCTGCAGCTCACTAATAATGCCACTATTTAGGAGAGTCCCATAAGAGTCTCTGCTCAATGTTCCCATCTAAGAACTGTACAGGGTGGCACATACTTACAGACACTATACTTGAGGAATGAAAGCAGGCAGATGAAAAATTCAAGGCCAGCTCTAGTTGGATACTAAGTCCAGAGCCATCCTCAATTACATAAGACCTGGTCTCATAAACATCAAATGATAATGATGATGATGATGATGTCAGGCTTTAATGCCAGCACTTGGAGAGGCAGAGGCAGGCAGATCTCTGTACTGCAAATAGAAACCTTGTCTAGAATAATGATAATCATAACTTAGATGGACTTGACATCTACTGGGTAGGGTTGATACTAGACTATATTCAAACACTTTGACCAGTCTGGCCTATACTAACACAGAACCATTATATTTTGAATCTCCATTTATTTGTTTAGTAGTCCTGGGGATAGAACTAGGGCCTTGAGGATGCTGGGGAAATGTTCTACCACTGAGTTACATCCCAGCCATAAACTCTATTACCATTGTTGTTGCCTTCTCTCACATTTACACATCATTCTTAGATATTAGCTCAATGAAAAAGATGAATCCACAGCCTGAAACTTCCACTAAAGGCAGGTAAAGTGTTCATTGAGAGAAACAGAATGTGTCCACTTCTGTTTTAAATTACTTACACTAACTCATTAGTGTATCATAAAAGTCTTTTATTAGTTCTTTATGCACGCATGTACAACGTATGGATGTGTTCAAGAGGGTATGTGCGAAAGTGTGTGTAGGTATGTACGTATGCATGTGTACGTAGGACAGAGACCAGTGTTCAGTGTCTTCTTTGAGGGCACTCCACTTTCATTTTTGAGACAGGGTCTCCCACTGAACCTAGAGCTCACTGAGAGGACAAAGAAGGGTGGAAAAGCAGGTGCTTCAGGAAGCTCCTACTTTGAACCCAACAAATCTCACATTATTCCATTGGGAAGAAGGAGGTCCTCAGCTCCCTCTTTTAAATTCAACTGATTTAAATGTACTTTCCTCTATGTGTACAGGAGTGTCTGCATGTAGACTGAGCATGAGCGCATGGGGCCCATGGTGGCCAGAAGGGGGAATCAGATCCCCTGGAACTAGAGTTACAGAGTTGTGAACCACCTTGTGTTGGTAGGAATTGAACACAAATTCTCTGCAAGAGCAACCAGTTCTCAGAACTACCGAGTTAGCTCTCTAACCTCTGACTATATTAACTGATTGATTGACTGATATTTAAAAAAAAAAACCAACAAAAAACAAACAAGGTCTCAACATGTAGACTAGGCTACCCTGGAACTCGCTAAGTATTTGAATGACCTTGAACTCACAGCAATCTACCTGCCTCAGCATTCTAAGTGAAGCAATGACAGGCATAGGTCACCAAACCAAGCGTCAACTAAACTTTGAAAGATGGCCATGACTTTGAAATCACAGTGAGCAAAGCCAACAGTGTAGAGGACA